CACACACATTTTTCCTATTGTTGGCAAACAAAGTGAGCCTACCTAGTTCATCTGAATGTATTATATCTTTCTCTGTCTGCATGTGACGGGCATGTGACGGGCATGTGACGGGCATGTGACGGGCATGTGACAGGAACTGCACATACTGAAATGCTTTACGTGTTTGTAGATACACGGTGAAAAATTAAACGTCATTCTACTACTTGAAATCATTGCCAGTGTTGTCCAGAGTAGTATTGTTAGTGGATGCCATTATGATAGCCATTCATTTTGGTGTCTGTTTATTCTGATAAACAGAGCCGCTGGGTCTATGACATGATGTGTGTCTCTATAATATCCTACAGCCACTGGGTCTAATGCAGTACTATAGCACGATGTGTATCTCTATAATATCCTACAGCCACTGGGTCTAATGCAGTACTATAGCACGATGTGTGTCTCTATAATATCCTACAGCCACTGGGTCTAGTGCAGTACTATAGCACGACGTGTGTCTCTATAATATCCTACAGCCACTGGGTCTAATGCAGTACTATAGCACGATGTGTGTCTCTATAATATCCTACAGCCCCTGGGTCTAATGCAGTGCTATAGTACGACGTGTGTCTCTATAATATCCTACAGCCACTGGGTCTAATGCAGTACTATAGCATGATGTGTGTCTCTATAATATCCTACAGCCACTGGGTCTAATGCAGTACTATAGCACGATGTGTGTCTCTATAATATCCTACAGCCACTGGGTCTAATGCAGTACTATAGCACGATGTGTGTCTCTATAATATCCTACAGCCACTGGGTCTAGTGCAGTACTATAGCACGATGTGTGTCTCTATAATATCCTACAGCCACTGGGTCTAGTGCAGTGAGTGCTTTTTACCCTCTTAGCAGTCTTCTGTCTGCAGCCTCCTCAAAGTTCTCCCTCTCTCTCTGTAGGCAGCTGAGTCGTCACCTGGTGGGACTCTGGGTGACTGGGAACCCACTGCTAATGCCCTCCTCCACAGAGTAGTGGTATATACTCCACTCTTCCTTCTCTCTCTGTCCCATTGTATTTTTTTAACCCTTTGGGCCATGGGTATCTGCTTAATTAAGCAAAATTTTATGTTGAAGAATTAGTGCCTAGTTTTATACCCTCACTAAATTATTATGGACTTATGGAGGCTCCGGACACATTCCTGTGTCCATGGCTGGTTAAGTGTTAATACGTACAATCCGAGCGACTTCCCTAGCTCCACAGAATCTGGCACTCTCCTTCTCTACTCACACACACACACACACCACACATTTTCGCTATTGTTGGGCACACAAAGTCGAGCTACCTCAGTTCATCGGAATGTATTATATCTGCTTTCTCTGTCTGCATGTGACGGGCATGTAGACGGGCATGTGACGGGCATGTGACGGCCTGTGTACAGAACTGCACATACTGAAATGCTTAGTCGTGTTGTCGATACACGGTGTGAAAAATTAAAGCGTCATTCTACTATCTTGAAATCATTGGCCAGTGGTTGTCGGCTAGAGATAGTATTGAAATTAGGGATGCCATATATGATAGCGCATTCATTTTGTGTGTCTGTTATTCTGATAAACAAGAGCGCTGGGTCTATTGCATAGATGTGTGTCTCTATAATCTCCTACAGCACATGGGGCTGGGTCTAATGCAGTACTATAGCACGACGTGTGTCTCTATAATATCCTACAGCCACTGGGTCTAGTGCAGTACTATAGCACGACGTGTGTCTCTATAATATCCTACAGCCGCTGGGTCTAATGCAGTATCTCAAGTCCAATGAGAAAGTTCCGGAAGAGGCAGACCGCATGCACGTCAGAGACAACCTCAAGGCTGTACAGGTATGTAGTGCAATATCCCCTTCTGTCGTCTTTGTTCCTTCATTCTTGGTTAGCCACTTTCTATTGTACAATTCTCACCTACCTGTCTCTCTGACAGTCACCAGAATCCATGTTGGTTGGTAATTGGTGGTGAACCATGTACAGTGAGAAGGTCCCTCTGAAGAATAGTTAGCCGGCCACTTACTAATACATCAGTATCATTATTGGACCGTGTCCCCAAAGTGTCCCTTGTTCAGCAGTTTCACTGTATAGGTAGGTAGGGTGGTAGGTATGTTGTTTAAAGGAAACATGTCAGTACATAATGGCTATAGCAATTAGGGCCAAGTGCAAACATGGGCCAAGTGCAATTATTTTTAGTAACAGTTTCTAAATTTAGCCCTTACGTATATACTGTCGCATTGCCAGAAGCCAGCAAGTGCGCACGTGCGCATGGGTAGTAGGCTACGCAGTCGTATTTCTCTCGCTGGAGGTCGACGACTGCTACAAAGTCACAATTAAACACATAATGTGCGTCCTATCGTTCGCTATACATGACTAGAAAAGTCGACACACCCCCGTTCCCATAAATCACGTATAGAACTCTAAACGCACATTATCTCTACTAAAAGCACTCCTTATACATTCCTATGGCACTACAGCGTGCCATACCCACAGGCTAACTGGTTGTATTTCTTCACAAAAATGTTGCTTTTGTGTGATTGAGTGGTTTTAGTGACGTACACTCGTTTCTCACTCAACTTCACCCCTCTCCCCCTCTCTCCCCTCTCCCCTCTCCCATCTCTCCTCTCTCCTCTCTCCCCTCTCCCCTCTCCTCTCTCCCCTCCCCCATCTTCCCTCTCTCCCCTCTCCCATCTCCTCTCTCCCAGGCTACCTAAGGGAGCTCACCAAACTGAACGTCCAGTCCAATCGCATCATTAGTCTCCCCAGGGGCCTCGGGTGAGTCCGTTACCAAGGAAACAGTAACCACGGTGATGTTACATAACCACTCCATGTCCAGGTTGTTACTGAACCTCCAACACCTCAGTGCAGGCGAGAACAATCTACTGGAGATACCAGCTGAGATAGGTCTTCCCCTCCCCTCTTTTCCTTCCTCCCTCCCTACGTATATACCTCACTTTTAATTTGCCAGCAAAGTCAGCCTAACTAGTCGTCTGGATGCCTGATGACGGGCACTCCTATTACGTCATTCTACATACCCACATAAATTGAACGTCATTCTAAGCTAAATACACGTGATAAATTGAAATTATCCAGGTACTTTATCGCCTCAGTTTCTGTGTTAATGAATCAAATAAAGGACATCTCTATATGGGACACTTTGTTCTGCCTCGTGTATATACATTAGTGCATCTCTGGGAATTCTTCCAAAAAAGGACGGCCTCTGAATAAACAATGGCCTGAAGTTGGTATTCATAAACTACTTTTAGGGTGTTTAGACAAGTTGAGTTATAATTATTGAGCTTGCATGGAAGTTAACCCTTTCTTTTATATACCATCTCCTCTCTCCTTCCCTCTTACAGCATCTCAAGTACCAGGGTCCTTATCGTGGCCTACACTGATTTGAACTTTGCACTCTGTTGCCATGCCTATTACTGTGTGCATCACAACAACACGAAATGATATTATTTTGTTATTGAGTGTGTAACTATCTATTCTGCACCTTTTGTTTAGTTAGTTTTTCACCCTCAAATAGTACTTTTTGTACCGCTGGTGTGCGATTCAATCATGTAACATGTCCATTTGTTAGATACATACATGATTATGATCGATTTCTTGTTTACTGCGCATGCCTATGGATAGGATGCTGTGTATTGTATATAACTCCTGCTACATATTATTGTTGACACTTTACCTAAACACCAGTGGGGTCCACACTCCACTCTTTGAACTTATTCTTTGGGCCAATAATAGTTCAGTGTAACATAAAGAGAATAGTTCTAACCATTAAGCGTAATGATGACGTAATATTCGCAAAGAGCTTCATGATTAATTCATTTTTAAGGGCTGGGGAATGAGTTATGCACACAGGGGAGAACCACAGAAACGACAATCGACTTTATGAGTCATTCCACTTAGTTATTGATTTTCTCGACTCCTTTTTTCACTCCGCAGCAGCAGTTCTCGCAGCTCTCTATCCTTGCACGAATACAATATGATCTGCTTGGAAATTTCGTTTCGTGATACAACCCGTCAGCAGCTAGGACGACGAAGTTGACTGTTTAGTACGCATGCGCAGTGGGCTGAGGCTGCTCCAAGAGTGTGTGCGAGTGTCTTGACCTTGCGTAATTACCTTCAAGGTGCACGTGAGGGTATAAAAGATTCACCCTAGGACGTTTCCTCTAACGAAGGGTGGTCTGACTGTCAAGCCATATGCCTAGCTAGCTGGCGTTAACTGAGCTGATAAGCTTTCATCTAGTGGCTTCCCCTTGCCTCCTCGCGCAGGTAAGATTGTTTGGAGGACGGAGAGCGGAATTGGCGCAGGGACGAAGACGTGGCCAGTTCTAACTGCAGCCAAGCACTCGTGGAGGGGCGCAAGTGAAGTCTTGGCGATGAGGGGGGGGTGGCTTGCTGGGCGCTCGTACGCGCAGAGGCCCGGGATAGAGTTGGGGGGAGGGAGAGGGGAGGGGCAGTGGATTAGTGCAGTTGTGGTTGGTGTGCTTGCATGTGATATGTCTTGCTAGCAGCGCATTAGAGACGACAGCACACCACTCGGACACTCCTTGTACATGTCCACGATCATACCCCATACGGTGTGTGTGTGTGTGTTCTAATACCAGTAATCACCCACTTTTCCCTCGCTCATGTAGGGAGCGAGGGCCAATAACTTCTCCTTGAGAGCCGGCCCTTGACGTTTAGGCTAAACTCTTCATTGCACACAGGACGGCTTTCGCCAACCTATTCTTTTTCATATATATCCATTTTCATCATAATGATGAGTGTATTTTTAGAGTGAGCTGGTTCGAATTGACAATCAACTGCAAAAAAGCCGAGGTTTACTGTTTCTGTAGATAAACCTCGACGGCGGCTGGGGCACCAAAATGGCGGAGCTCTTGGATTTCTACTGCACATATACGTTACCTTGAATCAGCATCTAACTTATGTATCATCTCCCTTGACCTTCTTGATCTGTGTGTCTGTGCTATAATGTACAGGTACAAGAGAGTGTTCTCCATAGGGACCAAGGCAATCACTACCTACACCAACACTCATGAAGTCACCAATCAGGTGAGGGACGTGATGTCCAGCCAACACTGGTAGACAACTCATGTTCTCTGTTTCCGTTGAGAAAGAATGCACACTATGCATGTACTGTAAAGGCTCACAGGGAGAGTATATGGGTCATGGGTCTGGGACCTCCCATCATACTTGCCTCTCTCCTCTCCTCCCTCCCTCCTCCCTCCCTCTCTCCCTCCCTCCCTCCCTCCCTCCCCCCTCCGTCTCTGTCCCAGTGGTGTTACAATGAGTTTGTGGGGATTGCTCCTAGTCCCAAGGCCAGCAATGAATTCATCATCACCATGAAGAAAGGTATGCTACACCACTTCATCTCCACTAGCCTGGTTTTGCCTACTCTTTTATTCAACTATCCCTTGATTCATGCTTCCTGCACAATGGAATCCCCTCTTATGAGGACACCTTTCCCGAAGAACAGTTCTTTGTATGCAATTTAACCCCTGAAAGTTCACTATAATATGGATATATACTTTCTTCTGTCCCACTGGTGTCCAATTGGTTCCATGTTGTCCTTTCCTCAGGAAGGAAGACTCAGCAGATGACCTTCTCGACTGAGTTCAGACCTGAGGTCCTCACTCGCACTCTGGTCAGTCCACACCTCTGCATCTCATTGACTTCACATCCCTCCCTCCTCCAACTCACTTCTTGCTCCCTCCCTTTCTCTGCTCCCTCCCTCTTTGTAAATGGGCACACACACCACAAGCACCTATTACCATAATATGTAGTTCATGACACCCCTCCCTCCATCACTCTGCCCTCATTCCCTCACTTCCCCTCTTCCCCCTCCCTCCCTCCCTCACTTCTCCCTCACTCCCCATTTCCCCATTTCTCCCCCTCCTCCCTCCCTCCCTTCTCCCTTGCCGCCCTCTCACACTCGTTTCCCCCCCTCCCCTTCCCTCCTTGTCGGTGTGTGCAGATGTTCAGTCCGTTGTTCTGTGAGCAACCTCGAAATGAAACAGACAAGGTCAGCTATACATCCTTTGACTCCATACTTCCCCTAGTATATACTGTGTATGACTCCCTCTATGTTGTGTATATACATGTGTACAGAGGTTTGATGCAGCCAGTTCCACTGGGACGAGGCCAAAGTCAAGTCCTCCTAGTGGTGAGTGGAGAGAACAAGTTAGGCCTACAGAGTCCCTAGCCCTGGATTCCCTCCTTCCTCTTCCTGCCGCCTCTTATGTATCAGTGTAAACCTCTGAATATGGGGACACCTTTGGGACATTATAAGTGTCCTTGATTCAGAGACATACTTTTTTGCATGCACTGAAGTATTAGTGTGGGCAGAGTGCAGAACCAAGTGTCTTTATAAAGAGGTGTCCGTTACTTGAAGGGTAAAGTGTTGGTATGTGGCAGGCTTAGAGAGGTGTCCGTTATTTGAAGGGTAAAGTGTTGGTATGTGGCTGGCTTTAGAGAGGTGTCCGTTATTTGGAGGGTCACGTGACTAGTTTCCATTCACTCACTTCTTTCTCTGCCCTCCATCGTTCGTCTTCTCTGGCAGGTTCGCAGGTACTGTGTGAGCCAGGTGGACATCACTGGCCACACTCTCACTGACTACAAGTACAAAGACATCGAGTACATGGCAAAGGTTCAGGTTACACTATACTCTCACCGTGTTATGTCCCTAACTGATGGAGAATCAGTAGCTGAGACCAAAACACAGTAGTATGGGTAGAGTGTGACAGTGTGGAGTGTAGCTTGCTAAGAAAATGTAAGAGTGTGGAGTGTATGATATTCATACTGTACATCTGACTTCTTGTGTCTGTAGTCTACAGTAGTAATGTACTATATACAGTGTACTGATAGTCATGGTTGGTCAACAGGTTGCAGATCATCCGGGAGCCTTTGTTGTGGCTGCTGGCGGATTTGGACGACTGGTGAGTATGTTTATAGAATAAGCTGAACACTTCCTTCCTCATCACCCCCGTCCCTCCCCTCCCCGTCCCTCCTCCTCCCTCCTCCTCTCCTCTACCTCTACCTCCCCTCCCTCCCTCCCTCCTCCCCTCCCTCGACCTCCCGCCGCCCTACCCTCCCTCTCTCCTCTACCTCCCTCCCTCCCCCTCCCCTCCCTCCCCTTCTCCTACCTCCCTCCCTCCCTCCCTCCTCCCCTCCCTCCCTCCTCCCTCCCTCCCTCCTCTCCTTCCCTCTCCCCCTCCCTTCCACAGCACATGTTCCTGACAGAGCAGAGAGATGATGTCATGAAAGCCATAATCCTTGCCTCTCGCAGCAACATTGGATACGATATAGCGTCAGTCACTCTCACACTCACTCCATTATATGCTGCACTACTTCTTACATTCTGTTGTCTGAGGTCAGGAGAGGTATATATGTACATACATAGGAGGAATGTGAAACCAACAGGCGAGCTCAATGTCTGAAGATTGGGAATTTAACTCGACCGAAGTAATTCTTCCGCCTCTCTCCTGACCTCAAACAGCTTAATATACACTCATCTACCATTACCAAAGAGATAAGATTGTCTCTTTCTCTCTCCCCTCTCTCCCCCCCTCTCCTCAGTGTTCACAGAGACCTCATCACACAACATGACTTCCTGGAGAGGAGACTCGGCAAGTACAGGTATGACCTAATCCCATGGCCATCATTGTACACGTACCACTGGTGCATGTAGATTTTACTCATCAATCCACACACAGTTTTCTCATTTTAAACAAGTAAATGAAGTGAAAAATGGTTCCCTAAGTGGGGAATATGCAAAAATTTCAAAATCTGTGTCTCTCATTTAACTGCTCTCCTTCCTGCTTTTTACACAGTGATGATGACTCCATTACATCACTTACAGAGTTCAAAGTTCAGAAACACACTCCTAGATACCTGGTCAGTGGGTGATGATGTAATCTCGTGTGATCATCACATGACCATCATGTGCCAGGAGCCGGCTCCGAGGATCCTGGCCCTCTCAGAGAATGTATAATAGAGAGAGACCCCTCCACTTACATTGTCGTTACCATACGACCACTCAGTGAGGTACAGTGTATATGTATAGTGTTGTATAGAGATGTTGTTAGTCTGATGTGATCTGTTGGTGTCTGTTGCCATGGTGATGTATGTGCAGGTGTTTGCTCTGATTCGCTACACCAATGATCCCCAGAGGTTCAGCATTGAGTACGTCAATGGCATCGTCAGGAAATACAGTGCTACTGAAAGGTGAGTTTCACTTCACCATGGAAATTTGAGCCGTACAGTGGAACTGGACACCAATGGGACAAAAGAAAGTGCCCATGATAAGTTGGTGTCCTTTTTCAGGGGTTAATTGCATGCAAGAATCGTAAAGAAAAAAGTTTCCTCTTTAGAGAGGTGTCCTCGTTTTTGGGGTATCATTTGGAAGAGTTACACTGTGTGTGTAATGTTTGCTATACTTTCGTATACACATCTCATCCCCTCCTCCCCTCCTCCCCTCCTCCCCCCTCCTCCTCCTCTCCCTCCTCTCTCTCTGTCCCTGCCAGAGATGCCCTGCTGTGCAGTATCCTGGATGGAGTGAGGGCCAGTGGGAACAGAGACGTCTGTGTGAAGATGACACGCACCAACCGAGGCCAGAGACTGGGACACTCCATCTGCCTGTGGAGGAGGAGGTGGAGAGCCAGTACCTCAACATACCTCGTCAACACTCCTCCATGTGAGTCATGTGACCTTTCCTGTGAGTCATATGACCTTCCTGTGAGTCATGTGACCTTCACTGTGAGTCATGTGACCTTCACTGTGAGTCATGTGACCTTACCTGTGAGTCATGTGACCCCTCCCCTGTGAGTCATGTGACTCCTCCAGTGAGTCATGTGACCCTCCCTGTCAGTCATGTGACCTTTCCCTGTGAGTCATGTGATCTGCTTTGAGTTACATGTGATCCTCGATGTACAAGTGTGGCCTTCCTTGTTAATCATGTGATCCTTCCAGTGAGTCATGTGACCTTCCCCTGTTAATCATGTGACCATTTCAGTGAGTCATGTGACACCCTCTATGACTCATGTCACCCACAGTCATGTGACTCTCAAATTATGGTCGTAATACTCTGTCTATAATACATTTCTTGCTCGATTCTATGGTAAACGTGCCTCCTATCCTCATTCTCTTTACCCCCAGCGGTGCAGTTCCATGAGGCAGTGGAGAAGTTCAACTCCAACGTGGCTTACAGTGGCCTCAACCATGCAGTGTCTTCTGAGGTCGGGCATTCGTGAGAAACCCTTGTCGGTTTCATGTGAAATTTGCCGTTGATTCTCACGTCTCCCACTTTTTTCAGCCTCTTGGCATAGGGCATAAATTTGTCATGGGCTTCTAAATTTCGAGATTGTAAAAATCCCTATCCCTGGTAAAATACATGGAACTGATGGCTTTGATGCAGTATTCCACGAACTTGGTTGGTATAATACACATCAGTTGAACTTTCAGCTTCTCTTCTTTCTCCCCCTCCAACCCCCCTCCCACTCCCAACACACCCACACACACCACCCACACCACATACCCACACCACACCTCCCCCTCCACACACATCCTCCCCACACCGTCTGTACTCAGGGTATATTTTCAGAGAACAAGGAGAAGCTCATCAACGGATCCCTCACCGCACTGCTGATGAAGGAAGGAGACCAGAGTTCTCCAAATGACAGACTAGAAGAACAGTTCCATGCCCTCAGAGACTAGTGGCCTCCAAGGCCGGCTATGAGGCCTTCACCTCCCTCAACCAAGTGAGACGCTACCGTATTGCTGCATTACTGGGGAGAACACTTTAGTCATTGGTAACAAACAACTTTGCTGGTCCCGGTCCGCAATACAATATCCCTTCAATATTCTACATGTTGTTTGAGATCCAGTGACTATACCCTCTTAGACTTCAGTCACAATATTATATATACACAGTACGTAGATGGCGAGCTGTCTACAAGTACACCTGTTTTCAACCTCCATTGGTTGCTCCTGGAAATGAGCGGCAAGAGGGAACACACATACATACATATATACATATATACACTGCAGTAGTACAGTTTGACTCTGTCAGATTTAGCAAGGCCTTCCCTGTTAATCATGTGACCCTTTAACCCTTTCCCTCCTCTCTCCTTCTTCGTCCAGTTTCAGGGAGATAGTTGGGAAGAAGGTGGTTCGAGCCCTCCGCAGAAGGACGACGGGATCAGCCATGCCTCTGTGGACTTCTTGTGCGCCCTCATGCAGCCATGCACGACAACTACGACTGAGACGGAGCAGATGAACAAGTCCTCTCTCCTCTCCAGCAAACCGTTCCTGGAGATGGTGCTGGAACCTCTCAAGACACCGTGGTGAGTAACCATATTCACTGCACTCTAGTAGAAATGATGATTCTCCCATTTTAAAGGCTTACTACTTTGTTGCATGCTACACCGAAAAACTGTCCTTGAAAGTAAGACCACACCACTGGTACACCACTGGTACAATGTAGATATACTGAACTCTAGTGGACATGATTCTCTTATTTTGGACACTCAGTTACGAAAGCCAACATTATACTGTAGCACAACTTTGAGTGTGAGACAAAAGTCTCATGCACCGTCAATGTATGAGTATAGTAGAAATGATGGTTCTCCATTGTAGACAAGTACTAAAAGAAAGCCTAGTTCCTTTGTTGCGTGTTACACCGCAAAAACTGTCCTTGAAACGGCAAATTACGAAGTCCGCTGGACAAACGTAGTGATGAGTGTTGCACAGGAGAGGTCGGGGAGTGGGACTGGTAGTGAGCTCATCCTCGTTCTTCACATTTGCCGTCTGTCCTCCTACAGTTTGTACTGTACATACACTACATACACACTATAAGGGACTATATTTACAATGTCACTTCTGTTACAAGTATATCATGAGCATGTACGCTGTATATGTGGTGCTCATTGTATGTAGATACCACACACACACAATTACATAAGGAAGCACTGTCCAAAACTTCCTCGGGGAGTGCAGTGAAGGATTACTTGTTTGACAAGTGTGTGTGTTGTGTGTCGGTTTTTTTTGCAATGTGCACGCTGGATGGCCAGCCCATCAATATAGCAGTGTGGTTATTTGGTGAGCGAAGCGAGCCTACAAGTCGTCTGTGGGGGTTTTCCTGTGTACATCTTTCTTATTAACCCCGGCGCGCATGGCATGGACAGCCGAGGGTTACGTAGTTCGTTCTGTGTGTGTGTCTGTGGTGTCTGTCTGTGGGGTCTGTCTGTGTGTCTGTCTGTGTGTCTGTCTACGACTATTCTCCCGCACTACCGGCAACGAGGCGCTTATGAGCGATACTACAGACCTTTAGCGGTGACATGCGGCTAGAAAGAAATGCATTTTGCTCGAAACGACTGCGTTCGAGAGCGACAACACTGGTCACGGTCGCGGACAGCGTTGCGTGCACGCCATCAATATAGCGGTGCGCATGCGTGTGATTAAGACGAACCTCGCGCAGTCATGCTGGTTTCACACACCTCGACCTGATCCGCTTTGCTCTTGTACCTTGGAGGTACAAGAAGCCACAGCGAAGGGCGGTATCGACTCCCACATGCTATCTACTACTGTAGCTAGCCAGTGTCAGGCTCTCCGCAAGCTACTAGCGGAGACCGCGAGTAAACAGCCCATGCCATTAGCTGTACCGGCGCAGTTCGCCGGGTTTGCACTTTGGGTGCTTTTCATGTGATGGCACTGCACTATACGTGATTTCACTAAGAATTGAGT